AGGACTGCGCTCATCAGAGCCACGCAGAGCCAGGTGAACTTGAAGTCGGCACGGAACTGCCAGCCTGCCTGCCCCCAGAGCTGCTGGCCTGTGGGAAGGCAAGGAAGGAGGGCAGAGCAGCAGTGCTGCGAGCAGCCCCAAGCTGCCACCTTCCTGCTGGGCACATCCCCAGGGTGACAGTGGGTCCCTAAAGCATCCCCAGAGCCCTGTGGGGAACTTGCCCACCACCCTGCTCCCCAACTTGTGCCTGTGCACAAACCCCCAGGCTGGTACCAAGGCCGTCCCGCGGTGATGTGGGGCTGGTCCCATCCTCATCTGGGGGGCACTCAGCCCTTGGTGCTGCCCGGGGCTCCTCACCCTCGAAGACGGGGTTGCAGAACTCGGTCTGCAGGAGAGTGAGCATGGGTGGCACCATGTGGACCGTGCTGCAGGGACCCCTCAGTGGCACTCACCTCCCCAGCCCTACCTTGCAGTGTTCCAGAGCCTCTGGGCAAAGCACGATTTCGGTGAAGTCCTTCATGGCAGCAGGCAATTTCCAGTGCAGCTTGGCTAAAAGCCTCTCCAGCACACTCTGCCCCACAGCACAGCCCCCTGCCCCACTGCCTGCTCCTCCCCAGCTGCCCCCATTGGCCCTGGGGTGGCGTGGGACCCCCGCTCCACCATGCACCGAGGCAGACGTGGTGGCAGTGCCAGCTGTGCCTACATGTGCTGCCTCAGCACCAGACCCCTGGGAACCCCAAAGGCCATTCCCACTGTGCAGCGAGTGTGGGAAGCACAGCCCCAGTCCCCTCGGCAGGCCCCTTGCCCTGTTAATCCAGCTCAGCTGAGGATGCCGAGGTTGGTCTCTGGCACAGAGAACCAGCATCTTAAAGGGGAATGTGTGCTAGCACCCACTCTGCTGGGAGCCCATCCCGGTGGGGACCCTGCTTTTGGGTGCATGGAGGCAGCACTGGTTTGCCTGCTGCCTCCAGGCTCCCCATCAGTGCAGGGCAGCAATGAAGGGACTATGTTGGGGACATTGAACATATCCCTCCTTCCCTTGTGCCTCCCCAGCACTGGATGCCTGATCCCTGCCACCTGCATTCCCACTGCCCCTTAATGCCCTGGTGCCCGTCTCCATCCCTAAGCAGAGGAGAAAGGAACCATTGTTCAGGGCTTTGGGGGAAAAGCATGGGCACTGGGGAGCTCCACAGGGCTGGAGCAGGAGGAAAGGCTCCCTCTGCCTCCGCAGGTGGCTGGAGGAGAGGGACTACTGCCTGCATCCGTTGCTCCAGGCATGCCTTGGGGCATGGATGCGCCTGGGCCTTTGGAGCTGTGCATTGGCAGGCTCTGGCGGTGGTTTCCCTCTGGCTGCTGGAGCCACAGTCCTTCATCTGCCCGCCCAGAGATAAGCACAGGTACACAGCACTGTCCAAGCTAAAATTTATTCCTGCACGAGTCTCCCTTGTATGAGACACTTCCCGCCCATCTTGCTTACACAGTAAACAAGCCACCTGCCAAGCAGCAATGCTGACCCAGTCCGGTACCTGCCGCGGGCAGCCCCTCCATCCTGCCTGCCCTCCCCTCCATCCGAGCCCCACTGGGATGCCCCGGGGTTGGGTGGGATGCTCATGGCACCAGAGTGCTCAGCGTGTGCCCGCAGCGCCAGCGAGGGCAAAGTAGAATGGATTGCTGGGTTGGATGTAGCTGCCTTGGGGGCTGGGGCTGGGATTGTGCTGGGTCAGGCCCATCTCTCCTCCAGCTGCACCTCAGGCAAGGCAGGATGGGGAGGAGAATAAATTAAAGGCTTAAAAGGCCACTGGCATTTGCTAGCTGGAGGACAGAGCAGCAGGGCGGATGGGGATGTGCATCCCCGGGTACCCAGGGGGGCTCCTGATCGCAGGGACAAGAAAGCCCCAATTGCAGATGGTCCCGGAAAGCCACTGTCCTTCCCTCCCTCTCCTCCACAGGACGGATGTTCCTGTGCAACCCCAATGGCCTCCCGCTCCCCCAGAGGGTTTAAGGCACCTTCGTATGAGGATGCAGGTAAAAACCTACCTGAAGCATCCCCCGGCACAAGTCCCTGGAGAGCCAGGAAGCAGCGGGGTGCTCCAGGTTGAGCGAAGTCCACTATAAATACATATAAATTCCACAAAACGTTTTCCTCCTTCCTGTCCATGAGTCTTGCTTTGAGGAGTGTGCATGGGGCAGCTGGTGGGAACGTGCTGCCTGAGATGGGACGGAGGCAACTGAAGGGCTTGGGTCCTTTGCCAGGAGGTTCGGAAGTGCTGGGAGGAGGCCGAGAGCAGTTCACAAATCCTCTGGGATGGCCAAGCAGAATGGGAGTGCCAAAGAGGCCAGGAGGGATGCGGGAGGCTCTCCTGGGTCCCCAGCTGTGGGTGCTCCCCCAGGGGAGCAGAGGTCTTGGCTGAGTCAATGGGGCCGGCAGCCCCACTCCCGCTATGTCCCTTGCTCAGTATCTTTATTACACACCAACCAAAAAGAAAAGAAGAAAGAAACTAGAACGTACCCCAGGGTAAAAAACAAATGCCAGTGACCAGAAGGTGCCTGAGCTGCCTGGGCCCTGCCCTGCTGCCGCTGCCCTCCTCAGGTTGGAGCTGGGGTGTTCCTTGCTCGGGGTCTGCTCCTTGGCTGCCTCCAGCCTCCCGCTGCAGCCACCTTGGGGTCCCTCCTCTTCACCTCCTCCTGCACTTGTGGGGCCAGTTGTGAGGGGTGTCGCAGGGGGTCCCCAGGGAGGCAGGGCTGGCTACATGCGGGAGGATGGGCTCGCCAGTTCATAGAAGAGCAGGTAGGCATCGCTGCTGCGGATGTGGCTGGATGACATCGGGGTAACGCTGCAGACACGGGGAGACGCGCTGTGAGCGATGGGGACAACGCACCGGGATGCGCTGGGCAAGGGGGTCCCTGCTTGCCCTGACCCCACAGCCACCCCTTGTCCCATGCTCAGCCTCACCGTGAGTCATTGAAACTGTGCCACTCGCTGGAGATGGGGCTCTTGCAATAGGCGGTGTAGTGTCCGCCCATGGTGGTGCCCGAGTGGTTAGAGACGGCGTAGAGGTTGTAAACGGCGTGGTCTGTGGGGAGCAAGGGTAGTGCTCAGCCATGCCAGCTGCTGCCCTGCTTCCCCCCAGCATGCCAGCACAGAGCTGGGGCCAGCAGGGACCAGCACCCTTGGTCTGGCTCTGCCCCCCGGCTCTGCCCCTGAGGGCCTGGCACTCACTGCAGCTCTGCGAGGCAAATTCCCGGAGGTCCAGGTCCTTCAGCTGGAAGTTGATGAAGGTTGTGAGCTTGCTGGTTCGTATTCTGGCCTCTGAGAAGCGCTTCAGGTCTGGGGATCAGGTCAAGGAGGCAAGAGATAAAGGGGAGCCTGTGAGGAAGTGCCTGACCCCCACCCAGCACCCCTGAGCCCATCCCTCTGCCTGAAGGATACGGAGCACCAGGATCTTGGGGAACTTCTGGATGCTGAATTTCTTCGTGCACCTTGTCCTGGCTTTGCAGCGACAACATGTCTGTGGGAGACAAACAGCGTGAGAAGGAGGGTGAGGGCACAGGCCAGCCCTATGGGCAACACAGGCATGGAGGGAAAGGGCCCCAGCCTGCACCAAGGCAAGCCCACCTGCCCCATGCCCCACAGCCCATACCGGTTTCTCATCCCCATCCAGCACATCCTCTTTGGTGAAGAGCCGTAGGCAGTCCATGAGGGTCACCTCCCCATAGCTTTTCTGTGGGAGTATAGTGTGGGTTAGGGATGTGGTGTGCAGGTCAGGGCACTGGGGGTTAGGGACTGAGAGGACCCCTGACCTTGGGGATGGGCAGGGACAGGTCCCAGAAGGGATCAAAGGCTGTGGAGCAGTAGCCGCACTCGCTGCATGTCAGTGAACTCTTCAGCTGCCCAACGAAGAGGTCTGGTGGGACAAAGATGGGACAAAGCCAGGTGAGACCCCGCGTTTCCAGCCCTTGTCCCAGCCCTGCCCTCCTTTTCCCACAGCCCTGCTCACCGCTGATGCGGCTGTCCTCCCTCTCCTGGTACCTCCTCCACATCTGGCGGCTCTTCTCATCATCACTGCAGGAGATGGGGAGACACAGTGGTACTGAGTGTCCTGGGGAACGCCAGCCCCCGTGACAAGCCCAGAGGGACCCATGTGGTCACCCTCCCTGGGTCGAGCCTGCCTCTGCCCCAGTCAGCACTTACGGGAGGTGGTCCAGGGTGTCCGTGCTCGCCCGTGGCCGCACCAGCACACGGTTCACCTCGCTGTGCAGTCCATCAAGGAGGAACCGCAGGAACTCCTGTGCATCCTGCTGGCTGCAAGACACAGGGCACGGCCAGTGAGCAGTGGCAGGGGG